GTACTATATACTCCAACATCACTGGCGCATGGTAACAACCAACTGACTGCAGACCATTTCCGGTCACACATTACTCTCCATAACCCTCTAGTTCCGTCACCTCTGGGTAACTAATATAAACAATGTCGCGAGGAAAGTGACAATTTGTAGCAATTTGGACGAAAGTTCTTCGGTTTTAGTGGAATATTTCAATATTATATAAGTATAGACCCATGGACCTATTAATAAGTCCATGATAGACCTATCCAAGAGAACATTTTTGAGTGTCACCCTCTATTGTCGGCGCCATTCATTACTGGGGGATGGCATTTGCGAAGTTTAGAGATGCAATGCGTACTTTAGTTTTCAATGCAGTAGTTGCTGAGAACAACAGGGTTTTTTCGATAGTAGCAGCTGCATAATGTCGTCAGTCTTCAACCTATAATTTTATCAAAATCCAAGATAAGTATATTTCGTGTATTTAAGACAGAATATTAATAACGATAGGAATTAGGGGCCTCGATAGATCGTATACTGTATCCTATATTACGTTAGGCCTAGCTGGCCTGTAGGGAACACCGGGTCCCAGACTACTACAAGGCTTAGGCCGTCTAAAGTAGCTAGGTATCTAACCTAGGGTAGGTTAGCTAATCGGATAACACTACTGTAACAAGAAAGAGGGCCAACGACAACGTAGCAGATAACAAATTTACACGGGCCTAGAGAGAATGAATAAATGCGCTGCTATCCACAGCATTTATTGGGTCTAATATAAAATATATCAGAAAATTGTCTTTAGTACACTACAATTAATATAAAAAACATATAGAATATCAAAACATTAAAGAACATCAAAACAGACAATATCAAAAAACATGCAAAATAGAAAAATATCAAATTCAAATACAATGTACAAAAGGGTTAATTTAAAATTCATAATATCAAAAAGAATTATATTAGAAAGATAAATATTATTATTACAAAGAATTACATTAAAAAGTCTATATACAATAAATCGAATTTCAAAAAAAAAAAAATATATAGGCCTATATAAATATATATAAAAAGATTAAAAAAAATAGAAGAATTTAACATTTTCCTAAACATTTACCTAAACAAAGTGGTAAAACAAACCATAATAACATGATGCCAGAGAGGCCCTACCTAATAGCCCTAGCTAGGCACTTGATTGATTGAATTTCTCACTTTCTCACTGTACACCACCCTAAAAAAGTGGTGCAAGAGGCTGGTGTATACCAGTGGTGGCCCTCTGTTATCCCCTTTTGTATTCTCAAACTGTAATTTAAAATTTAACAATTTTTCTGAACCATTTGATGGAATAAATAGTTTTTGTATGAGGAAAAATGATGATTATAATTACTGTACTATTTTATTAAGTAATAATTCTAAATGTTAAATTATGGTTTGTTTTACAGCTTTGTTCTACTTTATTTTGTTGACAGAGCCCAGTCATCAATGGTGACCTCATCAGCATGGGATGTGATAATGTAAGTTAAATACCAAAAGCTTATTTTGCCTGTTTGACTATGTACTGTGAATATGTTAATTCTAATAACCAAACATTTTAACTCAATCTCACAGATTTTAAAAAATAATTTTCTGTTTAAAAGTTGCTCTTTGTTTCCTAGTTACTGTAGATAGTTTTTTTTTTTAAAATAATATATGTATCCAAATGTACAGTATGCATGACCTACTGAAAGCAGACACATTACACGTCCAGATTATTGTGGTTCAGTTACTCTAATGGGATGTTCTTCAAAAATTACTGTAGAGTGCTAATAATTTACAAGGACATTAGTATAATGTGGCTATCAAGAAATAATTATTGTCTATTTATTATTTACAGAAAACATTATATCGTGACAGACCTGGTCCTTAAAAAGAGAGTTGTAATTGCAGTTGGTTAAATGAAAGAACACCCAGAAACCATGTTTATATTTGGAACTGAATATTGAACTGTAAACCAAAAAGATGCCTGTGTTATGATCCTACTGTCACTAATCATATTTAGGATTGTGTTTATAAGCTTTGCTGCAAATCTACACAGACTGATGCCAGTCCTGAAATTACAGCAAATGATATGAATGAAAATATTACATCAGCTTATCAAAAAGAAGTACTGTACATTATTTAGGGAATTTAAACAAGCGAAGTGTCTTGTCCAAGAACCCAGGCAATGTACACAGCAGGTGTCCTTGTACAAGACACTAGATTTTGGCTTGTATCTCTCTCTCTCTCTATCCAGGTGTATAAAAGCAATATAAATGATGTTCCTATAGTAAAACAATGTTAATAAAGTGTCTTTTCATTGCTGTCGATATGCATTTGGTTGACTGTAATTTGTGATGTAATAATTGTTGTACTGGTGATATTCTGTGAAACATCATTTACGGTACTGTAAATGGTAAATACTGATAGTAGCTTAATATTGGTTAAACTTTTAGACTCAAATGTTTCCCTGCTAAGTGATGTTACAGCAGATCACACTCAACTAATTCACTTAATTTAATACAGTATTAATTTTAAAAGCCTGTTAATATCATACACAAATGATACCCAAATTGGAACACTGTCTAACATTACACAACAATGTCATCATCACTATTGATGAATAACATCATCTGTCCTTATATAAATCAATGCAAACAATTAAAGGGGAACCAAGACTTGCAAATTGATCAGTTTGCCTTTTTATTCACGTATTGTGCATCAATATTTTAACAATGCTGAAATAATAATAATGTTTACAATACATTTACACTAATTCTGTTAAAATATCTACCATGTAGAGTAGGAAAGACCTACTTAAACTTCATCAAAAGCAATCAATTTGTCCATCTTTATTGA